GTCAAGCCGACCGTATATATTGCAAAAGGTTTGGCAAGAACGCCAGAAGATGCGGTCACAACCGCCCCCGTAAACCAGGTAAGCGGTGTTTTGGTTACTTATCTTCCTATGTTAATCATGTCAATCCAACTACATTTAAAGGTAGAGTACAAAACATCGAGCTAGACATACTTCTAGACACAGGAGCTTCAGTATCCCTTATTAAGGAAGACTTCTTGCAGAGACTTAATCACAGCATTCAGCGAAAACAGTGCTCCTCTACATTAATTACGGCGAGCGGAGACCCCTTGATTGCGTCTTCTAAGATAGGGTTAGAGCTAACAATAAACAGGAACTCTTTTCGACATGAATTCATGGTTTGCCCCACACTGACCTGGAACATGATACTCGGGGTTGACTTCATGTTAAAATATCAGGCCTCAATAGACATGAATAAGTCGGAAGCCAAAATTGGCGGGGTTGTCGTGCAACTACAACGCCGAAAAATGCCAACCGAAACTGTAGCCCAGGTGGGAATGGCAGAGATTGTACGTCAGGTACAAGATAACCAATTAATAAGTGAAAAGGACCGTCGAGCTACCATTGACGTACTCCAACGATTTAGCACTGTTTTCTCGGAGAATATCTCTGGAAATCGGACAACCATTGTGCAACATTCCATTGTTACAGGTGACCACATGCCATTACGCCAACCACCTCGCAGAGTCCCGGTGCATTATCAGCCTCATTTAGAATCAATGATAAAATATATGTTAGAAAAAAAGATTATTGTACCATCTTCGTCACCCTGGGCATCGCCAATTGTCTTAGTAAAAAAGAAGGATTCCTCCCTACGATTGTGTGTAGATTACCGACGCCTTAATGCTATAACTAAGCGTGATTTTTTTCCACTTCCACGGATAGACGCTACCTTAGATGCCATGAAAGGTGCTCGCTGGTTCTCAACGCTAGACTTAGCATCAGGGTATTGCAAGTGGAAGTCCGACCCCAAGATAGAAAAAAAACCGCATTTGTAGTGCCTAACGGCTTATATGAATTTCAAGTAATGCCTTTCGGGCTAACTAATGCCCCAGCTACCTTCCAACGATTGATGCAGACAGTTCTGCAAGGTCTCGTACCGCACCAGTGCTTAATCTACCTTGATGATATTATTGTATATGGCAGCACGCCAGAACAACATAATGCCGATTTGAAGGCAGTCCTACAACGTATTAGGCAGCATAACCTAAAAGTGAAACCATCTAAATGTCGACTATTGCAAAAAGAAGTGCTTTTCTTAGGGCACCGCATTACAGAAGATGGAGTGGCAACAGATAAGGAAAAGACACGTGTGATTGTTAATTGGCCACAACCAAAATCACCCGAAGACGTTCGTAGCTTCCTTGGACTAGCTTCTTACTATAGACGCTTCGTACGTGATTTCGCATCATTAGCAGCACCTTTACACCGATTAACCCACAAAGGACGAAAATTTTTATGGACCAGCGAGTGTCAACAGGCGTTCGATGCTTTGAAGGCTTGTTTAACTTCTCCACCTATATTAGCCTTCCCAGATACTTCAGCAGACGGAGGCGAATTTATACTTGATACGGATGCTAGTTCCTCGGCTATTGGAGCAGTTTTATCACAAGTAGCTCGAGATGGACACGAAAGGGTCATTGCGTATGCTAGTCGACGACTAGATATGAGTGAAGCACGATATTCTACAACACGTCGGGAGATGTTAGCACTAGTAAAATTCTTACAACATTTTCGCCATTATCTGCTGGGCAAACCCTTTCGTGTGCGCACGGATCACCGTGCACTGCAGTGGCTCCGCTCGTTCCGCGAACCAGAAGGGCAAGTGGCACGCTGGCAGGAACGACTACAAGAGTTCGATTTTACATGCGAGTATCGACCGGGAAATCGACATGCAAACGCGGATGCCCTCTCCCGAATACCCCAGACCACAGATATTATTAACGCAATTCTTAGTACAGCTCCAGAGACAGACTGGCCCTCCCTACAAGCAACAGATCCAGACTTACAGATTGTTTATCAAAGACAGCTACATGGAAATAGTAAGCCATCCATGAGGGAGCTTAAAGATCAATCCGTAACAACTCGTCGTATTTGCACCAAATGGGGCAACCTCAAACTATATGGTGACACATTATTCCTAATGAATGAATCAAAACAACCCCTACTGATAGTACCGCGAGTGAAAGTTGAGAGTATTGTGGAACCAGGTACACCGCGAACTTGGTCATGCCGGAGAACGGAGAACTGAACACGCTGTCCGTCAACGCTTTTGGTGGCCATCCATACACGAAGATGTAGCTCAGTTTTGCAAGAATTGTAACGTGCTGCGGTTTTAAATCGCCTCAGCAGACACCCCGTGCACCAATGACGCCGATGGTGACGACAGGACCACACCAGCGAGTTGGTATAGACATCATGGGACCACTGACTACGACAAAAAACGGGAACCGCTACATACTGGTTATGGTGGATTATTTCACTAAATGGTGCGAAGCTGTACCCCTTCCACAGCAAGACGCCCTTACTGTTGCCCGAGCTTTCATCGATCATTGGGTCTCCCGTTATGGTGCCCCTGTCTCACTCCACTCCGACCAAGGTCCATCCTTTGAAAGCCACCTCATCACTGAGATATGCCGGCTATTAGGAATCAAGAAGACACACACCACTGCCTATCACCCAGAAGGTAACGGTCTCGTGGAAAGAACAAACAGAACTATTAAAGCCATCTTGCAGTCGTTTGTCAGCAGATCGTCACCTGAGTTATGGGATGAGGTGCTCCCCCAATGCCTTTTAGCATATCGTACGTCGGCACATGGGTCCACGGGATTCTCGCCTGCTATTTTGCTGTTTGGGCACGAACTACGCCTACCAGTAGAGATACAGTCACCCCTGTTGCCCTACGAAGAACAAGAGCATGTTCCATACATACGTACTCTTCGCAACCGACTAGCTGATGCCTACCGTCTGGTCAACATTAACTTATGCAAGGCTAGTGGATACCAAAAAGATATATATGATCGTCAAGCACAAGGACCTAGGTATACGGTTGGAGATCGTGTCTGGTTACGTCACCCAATGACGTCGCTAGGGGGTTGCAGTAAATTCTATCAACCCTGGCAAGGCCCCTTTGAAATTGTCCTCATTCGATCGCCCACCACGTTTGTATTGCATAACATACAACGGCCTAAAGACGATGTGATAACGGTGCACTACAACCAGATAAAACCCGATCGGACGACATTGCCCTTCGATGCTCAACTCGCTGATCCACCGCCGGCCACTAGATTTTACGAAGTACCATCTGAAGGAGGGACAGCATACCCATGCCCAAGATCAGGCACTGAGGACAGTGCCTCATTAGGAGAGAGGGCGATGTAACGGGATTAAAATCATCATGTATGATGTTGTTAATAGATTTTGTTTTCTTTCTATTGCAGGGCAAGCAAGAATAAACGCTTTAGAAGAAGAAGAGCAAGCCCTGCACGCACTAAACTTACAGGATGACTCCTAAGACCGTTTTGTAAACTAGCTCTCTTTCTGTACAGAACCCGCGAATTTTAATTTTAAAAATAAACGTCCATTGGCCTCCCTTCCTCGTTCTCTCTGTGGTGTAAAGTGTTCAGTTAACATTGTGTGTGTTGTGGCTTTAGGTCTTCCCGTCTTCCAGTGACTGCTGATTACACGTGTTACATTGTTTTTGTATGATTACGTTGAGTAGTTTATTTGTAATGCTGAGCGTAAAAATACACAAAGTTTAGAGGTGTTAATCATGCACGCTTTTTTTAAACATCATAAATTAACCTCGATAATTCTAGTCGTGAGTATTATCATGTATTCAGTGTTGTTTACAAACTAACGCTATCCAAGCTCTAGATGAGAAGTTTGGTTTCACTATTTTAATCTGAATTCAAGTAATTTTAAAACCAGCTTCATCCAGAATGGTGTACAGATTACAGTTACCGTCTGCGATTTACGCTTCGATATATAGTATCAAAATGTTGTAGGACTCTAATTTATGGACGAGCCAATCAGAAGCGTCTAAGGAATTTCAAGGTCATGGCGCTAAGTTCAGTGCGAGATGCTCACATTCGATCGTTTTACAGCAGATTTCAAAGAATAGGTGATCGTTGAGAGACTACAGCAGATGGGACTATTAGGAAGTTCCTGTGTCTGTGACTGCGGCAATTAAATGACCGCAGCACGATGTGCAGACTGCCGCGATGACATTGTATTTCGTCGTACTATATGTTGTAGAAAAAAATCTGCTCGAACTGTCACTTTTTTACCCGGTCACGGCTAAGGCTAAGACAAACCATGATAATCGTTGCAAATTGGATCATAAAGTCTCCAGTAACATTAGCTGCGGCTATACCGATGTTTGGAAAGCGTATAGACTTGGTTTTGTGCATCATGTTGTGGTGTAGAAACGTCATTTCTTTGATCCAACGACGGGGGGTCCATACAAACAACATTGAGGGCATGTGGTCTAGGCTGAAGTATTCTTTAAAACCCTACCACGGCTCCAGAGGACGATTATTATAGAGTCATATGGACGAGTTCTTATACCGCGTGCACTATGACTTCAAAACTTCTGAACCTATATCAAACCTCAACAAGTTCTCAAATAATGTAAAAGAAGGATATCCATTGTAATTCACCACTCTTTTATAATATATTTTTACTTTATGCTAACTCTCTTCTGATTGGCTAGTGTCCTCAAGGTCCCTTAAAAATTCGTTCAAAGGTCATCCATAAATTAGAGTTTCACCCAAAATGTGTATTTTTCACTGAGATACTTTAGTTAGTTGTAAGAATTATTTTACTGATGTTATGGACTCGGAAATCAGTGCCAAAGCAGTTGATATGTCAATTATAATAAATAAATTGATTTAATGCGAAAATAAATTTTTCGTGGTGTTCCATATAACATAATTAACCTTTTTAAAATTACTGTCTAATTTTAGTGAAGCTTTTATAAAATGTCTGATCAACAAAGTTATATCCGCAACTTGATTGAAAAGAAATTCAGCGCATTTTGTGCCAAAGAAGGTGTTAGATGTTGCTTCGAGATTTCAAGGTACAATATAATTACCCACTTAAATACTTTTTTATTTAGTGAGATGGTACTTACTACGAATTGGATAGATGCGTTGTTGTATCTGTGTTCTAAACTTCCTAACAGAAAGCTGCAGTTGGCTTTTTTGGATTTCTGTATTCAAACGGGTAATTTATACCAAAATTCCTCTGTTCATGATAAATTATATCTTTAGCTACATTGTTGGATGAAAAAGCCATAGATCAGAGTAACCTTACAAATTAAACGAAATTGTTTTTCTATCCCTAGTTATCAAATACCTTTTAAGAGTTTTCAAAGACACGACGGAAAACAGTTGTGTTCAAGGCAAACAATGCGATTCTGTTCTAAGTAACTGTGCAAAACTTATGGTCTATTGTTTAACGCACTCACATGCGCCATCTAATTCATATATATTTTTCATGGAAGCCATCGACCAGATCAAATCAATAATTTATGGTATGTTAAGATATTTTTTTCGAGTGGTCTGAATTTCAGGTTCCACTAATGTTGAGTGCCTTATAAGCTATGCAGTCTTATTCATAAATATTGTTAAATTGGAAAGGAAAAATTACTTGGCTGAAGTTTGGATGAAATTATGTTTACTAATTTGGGTTTATTTTAGATATTGGCTGTGCTTAATCAATCCGAGAATTCACCTTCGTCAGATATCACAGGGAATCTGTCTTTTTTATTCCAATTATTTCATAGTAGTAATTCGCGAGCTCAATTAGCAATTCTACTAGCACTGGTTGGGATCCTATCTACAACTGATTGGTTTTGTAATTACGAGAATTATGGAAACATAAGTTTGTATGTTCTGTCTATGGCTGGATTTTCTGTTGATCCAAATGATCATCTGCTAAGAAAGTTTTATCAGAATGATTCAGTTACTAATTTACTTCAATCGAAAATAGTTTACAATTGGTCCAAGTCTGTCTTTTTATTTGTATAAACAGGTGTTTTATTTTAGAAAGAATTTATTAAATCACTATGAGGATGATGTAGAAAGAAATATCGAACAATTTAATGTATTCACGAGTCCACTTCTAACGTATTGTATAGACATGAGAAGCAGTTACATAGACGTTTGTTTTTAAATAGATCATGTCAATTCTCTATTTCTATTCAGGCTATTCGATATTCCGCTTTAGATACAATTGAGAATATCATATTTTTTCATTTGAAGTATTGTGACGGTAATTTGAGCTGCGTTCCATTTATTGTCATGTGACTAAATATTTATTTCAGAATGTCGCCAGTCAAGAATATCTGATAACAAGTCAAAAATATCTTGTGGTTATTTGAATGAAATTTTAAATCAGTTAGTGAGTGATTCATGTTACAGTCGCGGAACAATTGCTATGTTAACTCGATTCATCCGCTGTATGTCTAAGACTCGTGTGTATAGGACAATCAATTTATTGCACTCTTTGGATTCTGTTTTTCAGCCATTTGTTAATGACACTAATTTAGAAATTTGTGGAAGAATTGTTTCAGGATCGATGAAGATTGCCGATGATCCTAACTTGGCGTCAGAAGTAAGTTAGTTGTTCCACTTACCATTCTTGTGATGTTATTTTCTAAATTCAAAATTGATGTAAGATTGCCTTCGTAATGAGGCACGTTTGTGTGTGATCAATGATTTTTAAGAAGAAAACAGTTTACTGAAACCAGTTGACCGGTTTACCATATTTCCTAGTGCTGAATTTTTATTCACTACTTTCGTTAAGAAGTTCGATCAGGTGTGTACAACTGAATAAAACTATACATTCATGTTTTGTTTGATGATTTAATACACTAATCAAGTACAAATTCACATACCTGGCTTTAAGTTAAAATGATTGTGTGCACTCGAGGGTTAGTGATTCTACATGACTGTTCAAACCAAAGTAGTTGTAGTCGTGCTCGAACCTACCATCTGATAGTTGAAAATGCCTTAGGCACTAAGCCGCGGCCGAATTAATAGTTCTATTAACTAAGTGATCGTCGCAAGAGCTTGACGTTCTTGACTTCAATCCTCGGCAGGGTAGTAAGCATTCACTGTTGCCATGCTTTGTTCACTTGTAGTTGAAGATAATTCCAGCTTTATGAGATAAAAGACATCAAATAATAAAGTGTAGATACTAAAAGTACTTCAACTTTGCAGTCATTAAGTTGCAGTTTAAAGTTAATAGATGTCATTCAACAACTATTCCGGCTTATGTTCTCAGGATTTAAGGTACATTGTACAAAAGCTGGGAATACCACCTCCGGGGTGCTCAAACCGGAGTAGATAATGCAGAGTTCAAGTTTATTTTAATCACAAAGTTAATGTCTCATTTATTGTATAGTGTATCTATGGAATTCTAAATAATTTCGCATGAGTGATATTTTACTATCCTTATCCGTATCTTAATTGAGTTGTACGTTGAAAGAAACCTTCCCGCTAACCATACGTTAAATCACTTGTTTACATCCAATGCAACATTTATATAGCAAGTCATAAGCAATATGAGCTCAAGTCGCCAAATTACATTAGCATTCAGGGAAATTAATATAATGCATAGTAATTGAGTCAAATCATTATAATAACAGTGATGGTAAGAAAAACTAAACATTGAAAAAATGATTCCTAAAGATAAAATGTGAAGATAAGTATTAGGGAGTATTAAAACTCAAGATCTAGTGGAAGAAAAAGGAGCCAATACATCTACACCATTTTCAACAATTCTGGGTTGTCATTTAAAGTCTCTAACCACTAATCTCAGTTATCTCCCAGACCTCAACCAGATGGTCTGGGTCTACTAGCACAGTTCATACCAACAGTCAATGTCTTCATGGACTGATGCCACATTGTGGTCTGACTCCTATCTTTCTTGTAACTTGTTTCTATTTCATAGTTGCATGTTGAGATAGGCAGTGTTTGATGATACATATCATACGTCTCAGTCCCTTCAGTCGATTAGGATTCAGTCTCATTATCCGGTTTGTCATTTTTACATAGTACCCTATAGTTCAACTGTACTTTCTCTACCAGTTAGAATGTGACCCTCAAACCAAAAACAATGTATCTGCTATCGTAAGATATAGTTCCACTTCATTTTCAAAAAGGAAGTTTTTTCGTATGTATCAGTAATATGATGAAAATAGTGCTTTTCTCAGTGGATTATTCATTTGGCTTTTTTTAATGGATTCTCTTCAGTTCTGTCCCGAATTTAAAAACTTGAATTTATACACTTATCAAAGATGCTACGCTAATATGTTTGTCTGTTTGAGCAGACTTGTCATCAATGTAACCGTCGTGGTATCAGAATTGTGGATTATAACTGTTCAGTCATGTTTCTTCAATGAACAAATAAAAATCTGTAGAACATCATTAATGTAATTATTTATACGACTCGGTTCATTCACCTTTCATACTTTGCTTCCATGCAACCGGATTAAAGAAGAACAACGGGTGTAATTCTGTTTAGATGTATTGACGTAGTGATTCCTACGGCATGCGTAACCTGCACACATCGATGATCTGCACATCAAGAAAGAATGCATTGTAAGCATTCAGAACTATGGAGAATATCTTGGTCAGATCAAAAATGAACAATAGCTTATTAGTTCAGTCACAATCCAATTATCAGATTGCAGGTTCGAACACCTCCTCACTTCTTTTTGAACGACTAGGTAGTATCACTATCTTTCATACCAGGAGTGTGGTTGAAAGCCAAGTAGACTAATATATACCTGGCAAACGTGCTAATGAAGTAGAAAACGAAGCTTTTTAATTTCACTAACCCCCTCATGCCAACTAAATGACACTTCAAGGCAAATGCATAAACACGTATTCGGTAAATGATTTGGCCTATCCTTTCTTGGAAAGAAAAAAATAGTTAATTTATAATTTCAATACATGACTTTAAATTATTACGAAATAAACATTTGTGGAAGAAAGGTTTCACAAGAAAAAACAGCCTTAAAATAATTACATTGACTATTTTATTGTAATTTAAAGATTATACTTGTATGTCTTATTATTTACCTACATAGATTTCAGAATTGTATACATTAATTACGCACAACTTGTACACTGAGAATGACCCATTAATTTATGTATGGTTATCTGGTTTAGTCGATACCTTTATTCGTAACTCTAACGAAACATTTCATTCTACAGTTATTCAGGTAAATGTTTTCTTTGTATCACTGATCCGTATATTCTTTGTTTTAAATTCACATGAATAGCAAAAGTGAACTATACCACTGACCTAGAACAACTGATCAGCCAGTTAAAAGACAACGCTTAGTTATCAAAGTTTTAAAGTGATAAACAAATGTTTACATGTTAAATTATTCATTATAATCAATGGGAAAATAATAGGGTTAAGGTTGGAGTTGCAATGAGAAAATGCTTCACAATAATAAACACGCATATGCAGATAGTTCTTCAAATTGAAGCCTTAAAATCGTTTAAGTTGCCGTGGAAAGTTTATAAGTCATTTTAACATGTTATGTACATTTTAACCCCATTTGTTTCCTATTATCTCCCCTTTAAATAAATAATTAATCACTTTTTCCATTGTCATCTTAAACATTGCCCAAGTCTATTCCTGTTCTTTAATCTTGTCATGTTTAATAATTTTGAGCTTCTTGGTAGCAAAATATTGCTAGGTTTTACTTAGCTCTTGTTACGTTACCAGCCATCCATCATTGCGCTTCAAATTTCTCACGTAAATCCAAGATTCTCTGTTCTAAAACTGACCAGCTCATCGGTATAGTTTACTTTTGTCCACATTAATAACAATATGGTCTCTTTTCATCAGAGTTCATAGTTGACTGCTCTGCATAGGTTTAATTCTAAATCATTATAGTTGGTGACATGTTGTCATACCCATTTTATGGAAGTGGATTGTTAGTAATAAACCTGATTAATAAAATGCTAAAAGATTTTTGACTAAAGAGCCTTATTATAATCTATTTTCGAAAGCCAGTTGACGTTTTTTGCTAGAAATATGCCTATTCGGTATACTACAATAAACTAAGTGCTTCTTAACTATGCAACTAAGCGATTGTCGCAAATATTTTCACAAAGGCCCTAAAGAATACTAGGTGTTGCATTTAATGTATTTATTTCCTTCATAGTAGTATATTTTGTAGATAAAACAATAATTAACTACCGTCAATTTCGAAACTAATTCTGAAGAATAAGTCAATAAGACTTATCCATTCACTTTTAAAAAAAAATAGTACATTGTTCAATAAAATTAAAGTCATTAGTAGTTAAATGATTTATTTCCCTTCGTAGTTTGATCTGAGTTAGAATGCTATTGGAAATCAGTGGGTACACTGGGCAGTATAGGACACAGCAGTTACAGTGCACATCTAAAACTTACCAGAGATCAAACCCAAGACCTTCAGGCCTCACCAAAAGCACTTTATCCAACAATAAAATTTTGGTTTCGATCAATTTGCGATATATCTTGATGGTTATCTACTAATATTGGTGACAACTGTTTCATTCCAAACATAGTATCCTAACTAAGATCAATCCGTCCTACCAATGTAACCAATCTTCACTAAAACTTTCTCAACTAGATTTATTTTGTTTCTGTTTCTTTTGGCATTAGAATATTCTACCCAGTTTAGTGAAAACCAATCCTAAATTGTTGGAATTACTGGTAAAATGTTGCAACAGTGACTCAGGTAGTTGTTTTCTTTTGTTTCTGATGCTCTCTATTTTAACTGTTTTTTCTAGTGTTTGCTAATTCTAGAATTTTGACGATCTAAACACTAGGGATTCTGTATGGAAAATCTATTCTATCCTAATTCAGTTTGAACAGTCATTAAGTAATGTCATATTTATCTCCAACGTATATATATACCGACTGAATACCGAAATTTCTCAGGTTGGTTAATGAGAATTTAAACCGTTGCCGAGTAAAATGATGTTTGAGTAGTTACTTGTCAGGCATTTCTTCAACCACCAAACATGGTATTCTGCTGTCAGTACACTGAGAATTCTTAGGAATTGAATCTTTCTTGGCTTTTTCTCTACGAGAAAATTTCAATCACTTGTTGTGAATGCCGTTAACGACATGGCAGTTAGGTAACACTGATACTTGTAATCTTATTTACTTCATTTTTTAAACTTCGTTCCCGATATTTAACGTACAACAGCTTTTTGCTCCACATTTTGTAAATTTTCTTTCCTCACCATGCTGATGTGAAATGTAACCAACATTGAACTGATATATATATATATATATATATATATATATATATATATGCTTGGTCTTACATTTAGGGCAGGCTGACAACTGTTAGGTGGTCGGAGATGTACTTGGAATATAGAGAAAACTGATATTCCTTGGTTGACTCAAGCTCTCATCCCACAGTTTCACAGTCTGATATGCTACTGTGGTGCATCCTTCTTATGCTGACGGATGTAAGTAGTAGCTAGCAGCAACCGGAAGTGGAATGCCTGCTAGCAGAAGATTACGAAGATTGAATTGAAAAACAAAACAAATAGGGAGACAGAGAGCAACTGTGGTAAAAAAGAAATTGAAAGAATCATGAGGCACATAATGGATAACCGAAGGAAGATGTGCAAATAATGCATTTAATGTATGGTTTCCATACTTTACGAAGGCAGTCAGCAATTTTATGTTGAAGAACAAATGGTTTTCCCCACTTGAGGTTTCGTTCACTACAGTACTGCTGAGTTATTCAGTCTACTAAATGTGGATGGTGCTGGTCTGAATCCTTCAAGAAGCACCACTTTCCTTAATGGCTAACTAGTGTGAGACCTATTTCAAGCATCGTCTCTTCCTTAATACCCCCAACCACGTAGCATCCTGAAATATTACCCTCCATGTGAAATCACTTAGACTAGTGACTACACTATTAAAACTTGATCGATAGAATTCGATCAGCTCTAAAAATCTAGACAAACATGATGTTGGCCACTATTCAGTGACCAATCAATTGCATATAAAATGGAATGTGTTTTAAATCAAAAAGTCACAATCTCATAAGGTTTATATTATGAGAATCTCCATTTTTTTCAAGTCTTTAAATAAAAAAAATTTCACGCACACAATAGTTTTACTTTTGTTTGTTTCGCAACAGTAAAAATGAATACTGACTTGCCTACGTTCCTACTAACTTGTTATCATCTTTTGTCATTTAATGGAATGAAAACTGACTGTTGTGAATACTTGTCGTTAAATTTCTTAACATCATGTCTTCGCTCATATGATAATCAGGTAAGTGCATATTATGTAACTGTGTGCATATATGCATAATATATATATATATATATATATATAATATTTTTACGTCTGCCGCTTTCTCACTCACACTTGCGGTCCAATAATATAAGTAGCCTAAAAATGATAGAATCGGTTATTATTGTTTTATGATGGATATAAAAGCCAATCATTTGTGCAGTGACTAATTTTTAATAACAATGACCTCTACTATCCATGCTATCTCCAGCAAAGATTCAAGTCCGAACAGTGTTCGAACCTACGGTTTAGTGGCTGAAAGTCGAACTAATTAACCATTACTGATGACTAACATTAAAATGAGATGTATTAATTTACTTTATCATTATACAAACTTCACCCAATTAATCTTTCATCATCGTTCAAAAACTCTGCTCAACAGATTTAGTGTTCTCTGTTTTCCGCAAACAAACACGGCACTAATTCGTATTTTCAAAGAGGGAATATTGGCTTCTCATTACTTTCTAAACTATATCAGTCCTCTGTTTCGGAATTTTTTTTGAATTTCGTGTTTATATTAAATGTCTTTGTACTTTTACATCATGAATATAGACCTTAGTGGGGTAATCATTAGGAACCAGGAAACAATGTACAACTGTTTCGTTCTAATATGGAAGTGGATATCTAGGATCCCACGGGATATCAAACTCAGGATTGTCGGGTTTCGTGGTTAACACTTAACCGTTCGAACTACTGAGTTATCATACAGTAATCCATATTTTATTATCCTGATTTTATGTGGTAAACATTTCACTAATTAAATAGTAAGGAATATCATATGACAATCAAAACTAAACCGGAATCGTGATAATGTCCTCTACTTAAAGTTATCTGTTTACAATTTTATTTTACATCTGAATACACAAGAAATTTCTAAAAGTTTTTTTATCTAATTGCTTTTTATTCGAAATTCAAGTTACGTCTTACAGCTTTAAATGTTTTAGTAAGTTTAATTACAAAATCCAAACAAAAAATGATCATATCAAATGAAAAATTGGAAATGTTTCTTAATTATCTCAGACACGATTTGTGGCCAAATTCAAAGCGTATACACGGCCAAATTGTCAGTGCAATTAAAGATGTAAGTTTGTTTGTGTTTCTTCCTGTTTCCCATCCTTCTATCTTAAACAGTATTTGTCCAATAAATGCACTGACTTAAGCTACTGAGGCTGTTTTGTATATGTATGCGCCACACAAATCACTCGATATATGTGAAAGCTGGAGTACTACCAGGCCTCCCAAACCGAAGCAGGTGGTTTCCTTAGGGGGCCACAGCCCAAGTCTTTGATCTAGAGGTCTAATCCATAGGGCAGTGGAACAACATTAAGAGATACAATTCTATGATAACCGGTGACCAAGAATAGGTTCATACGCCTTTTGTTTCCTCACAAAGAGAGCCCAAGTGCGTCATTGGTTTGGGATCAGGGTTTTCCCCTTCATATCCACCAACCCGGTTAAAGCGTCGGACACTCGCTTTTTATCCTCTCAATTTTATAAACAACACTCCCACTGCGAGAAGTCAGTGAGTAGGATTTACCCGACGGTAATTGTATACGCGTAACCAAGTGAGAACTTCCGACGGTCAGCCGTACCAAAACAATTGGGAGCAAAAATGTGGCGGTGGACCGTTGCAGTGTAGAATCAATCTCTCAAGATTGGTTTCGTGCTCCAAATGCAAAATGATCGTACAAGACCGACAGTTGATGAATATTAAAACTATGAAGCCAGCTAAAGAACTTTATTTCCTTGAGGACTTCTAGTAATTCTTCAAAAAGCATGAATCGTGGATGTGATAAATATTGTTTATACCACAAATGAAAAAAGTATTTTGAGAAAGTTCAAGACTAATGTAATGAAAAATTTTGTAAAGTAATGCGTTCATGACTTCATTTATCAAATTTATAAGACAGAATACGTATGTTGATTGAATATTTACAGTTGAGCACATACCTCAGTCATTAGATCATAGTAAATTATCCTGTTATATAAATATGACAGTTTGTTAAGAAGTTTATAATTTGTATGAATTTCAGTTAGTCACCAACAAAAGATATTGAGAATAGATTGAATCAGCTGTTATATGTTAATGTATTTTGCAAAATAATTATCAATGAATATTTACATTGATATCTGAAAATAATATTTTTGATGAAATCACTATGTTTTATTAAATTTATTGCACTGGCAGATTTTATTGCATACACTTCCAATTATGAAACGTGAAACAAACGATACCAATTTAAATAATCTTAAAGTAAGTTGCATGAGGTGTTGTGGATTTTTAAAAATAAATTTATAGTGCTAATCAACAATAATAATATAATAATTAGCGTGAGACCGATAGGACCTGGGTTCGAATCCAGCGGGGCGAGATCGTGGATGTGCACTATCGAGAAGTCCCATACTAGGACGAAACGGCCGTCCAGTGATTTCAGGTTTTTTATAGTGATCCAGCTTCAATTGACTCATGAACTCAACTATTAAATTAGCTTGAGATAAATTTAAATATTTCCATGTTTTCTATGTCGTGATCTTTGATCTGTTTTTAGTCTCTTTTCAACCCAATCAGTTCATTCTTCAACTTACAACGATGTTTCTGTTCTGTCTCCTTGTTTAGTTTCTTCATTTATGTGAACATCTACAGCCAAACACAAGTTTCTGCATAGAATGCACAGGTTTTGCTGTGACCACAATAGGGTTTCAATATTTGTAAATCTGTTTAACATGTATAGATTCGTGTACTTGGCTAAGAGCCATTCTATAAGCATCAGGCTTAATTATACTACTTAGTTATCAAAACGGAGTAGGTGAAGCAGGGTTCGAGCTTAGGATGATAGTCGAACACCTTAACCACTGAACCGTCCTCTAATAATTGAGTAGTTTACGTGCTTGTAAGTAGTCACGATATTATCGTTATCATATATCATTGGTGTGCTCCTGTCTCAATACGAACACGGTTGACTCCATAGGTTTCGGTTTTACAACGAACTGTACTGTTCAGACCTCGTACTGTTTGAAAGTAGTTTTCATTCTAACTGAAAGGTTTTTTTTGTCCATTGTGGAGTTGTGAGTGTATAGTTCTGTGCAGCTTTATACTAAGGCGCAAAACTTTCAAGTACTTCATAGTTTTCAATATTTACCTAGCCAAGTCAATCGATGGTATAAACTAAAAACTATCAATTTTCACAAATCTATACTAATAATGTATGAAACCTCATAAATGTAACTGTTGTATTCTACTACCCGATTCGGTCACATTATGCATCTCTTACTCTGTACTAAACCGACTATGTAAGTGAGAAGACTGAAATCAGTGTAAAGCTTTAATTGCCGAACGAAAATACAATGTACTTATATTATGGGTATATATACGACCATCTTTTTCGACCCAAACAAAGACATGTATTCTGAGACGTTGGACTGGTAGATAGTCGATTTTCTTCAGTAGCCCACCTCCTTTATAATTCTTCACTTACCGTTTGACTTTAAGAGACCATGTCATCACAAGCGCATAATATGCTTAGCATTGTCCAGCCTATAAATAATGCAGTTGAATAGTACTGCATAAATATTCCAGGTTTCATTGCTATTATATATATATATATATATATATATATATATATATATATATATATGTTCACGTCGGTGTTTTCAAAAAGAAAAATGCTCATCCTACTGTTCTTTTTCTTCAGTCGTTTCATGTTGAAATGGTTCATATCTTGATGACATGTATTTATCCTGGATCACCAGCATCTCGTCTATCATTAGGCTTAGCTGGATTATACACAGTTGTTGAATGCTTTCATTCTGTTTTTTATACCGATGATTATTCAGGTAACATTTTTATTTTGTAACTTTTATAATGTAATTTTTGGTGTGATACACTCAGTCAACATATTTGTTAATAAGGTAAACACTTAGTATGTCGCTGTGTTATGTTGCACGATAGGTTCACACTTTATTTTCTGACTGATATCCTCAAACAATAAAGTAACTGTATATCAACCTTGGAATCTAAACCATCTATTTAGAATCAATGTTTTCTAACTCTCCAAAATAAACTATCCTTATGCATCAAGCGGGTTCAATCAGTGGACATCCACTGCCATTGTCTCACTTATCCAGGAAAACGTTTGCTATGTAAAGACAGTGATTAGGCTAGCTATTGACTAGACTATGTAAGCTGGTATCATGTAAGAAATGGATCATTTTCGCGATTTAATCACTCAATCTTAACATCAGCAAACTTTATACCATTTGAAAGCCACTTTTAACAGTATGCATAAAATAGGTTGAGTCTGTCTAAGATGGTGTTGTAAGACGGGAATACATATCATCTTTGTACTCATTTATATGTTACCAAACTTAAACCCTACTTACGTCGTTCTACCAACCATATAAATTTACTTTTGGGTATGAGAGTTTGTCCTGAAATGAAAATAAATATATTTTCGTTATGTCTACAATCATCCATGATTGTAACAGTGTAAATGCAGTGAACAAGAAATCCGCAACTTAAAATTCATATGTTTATGATAAATATCAACAATTTGTAGTCAACTCATATGCTTTTTTAATTGGTCATGTTTTCCTTTTTGTAAATAATAATAATAATTATGTAACTCATTATCAATTTGTTTTAAATTCTGAAGAGTTCATGGCACAAATTATGAGTTGTTTGATTAAAGCAACTCAAAATGTATATACAGTACCTTCATTTACCGATGAAAATTTTAAACCAATCGATCACTCAACGTCACAACTGTTCTTTCTCTTTTTGACTGGTTTATGCAGTCGATATGATGTTGACCGAGATTATACTGTGAAAATACTGTTGAGATTGGATGTTTTAAAACAACTTGTAAGCTTGTCTTTTTTTAACCGTTTCCCAAACGATGCTACTCATAATTATTGAAACAAGCAATGCCTGTTCTTGTGTGCATATCTAATACTATTAAGTTTAGTGCATATGTGTCCGTGCTTCTGTGTAATTCGTTATTATATTAGTTAGCTACTTGCTTAGAATATACAGCGCTATTTAAATTCAACAATATTCAAGATAAAGTAGAAGAAGTGGAACATAAGAGCCGAGACTCAACTATATTCAATTAAAATTAATCCTAATTAGAAGTGACAGAAAAAAGAATAAGTCTCCAAAGATGATTGTAAGTTAGGATACTGAAGTAACAGCCTTTATTTTTGAAGTGGTTCGAATTTTATCGAAGTCGTCTCCATGCCCAACCTACAAAGAACTAAATAATTACTATCTAGCATACATGTAAATGGTCCAAACAATTAATCATAAAATATAGCTCCATTAAAATATCAGTAATTCATGAAAATTAAATGTTGTTTATTTTAAAACACTAGTACTAATGAATGATACAATAATTAAATGCCGTAAAAGAGCTTGTAAGTACCCTTTTGTATACCTATAACTGATCAGAGGATAGAATAGAGGTGGATAAACCGTTCTATCAACAAACCTCGTGAATGCAGATCTTATTTCAGGTGAACTTCAAGTACACATCGGTAAAATAACTTTGAATAATAAAGATACTTATGTACTTCATTTATTAATAAAGCCAATATTGATCAATGTAATCATAGTTCTATTATGTTACCTTATCAATAAGATGCTAAATGCAACTATGTACAGTTCACCTGTACTTTACCATCAGAAATCATCTGTTTAACGTAGCGTGTTGTAGTGCCGTGTCAGTCATTTGAGATATGTATTTCGACTTATTGAAGTTCATATGTATGTAGAACGCTTATTTATAAATTGACTCTCAACAGACAATCATTTGAAATCCATGATATTTTTAATTACGAATAGAATGCAGTCAATGTTGCATGTTTTGTAAAGTTTTCTATTCAAGTTGTCATTTTAAATGTCTATGGTCCCATCTTATGATCATGACTAACTAACCCAATATATCCAAATAAAATAGAACAGTAAGTTAAAGTGTAGCATAGACGTCCTGAAATATCTAAAATATCATGAAAAATCCATTCTTTTATATCAAAATATAGTGACTGTTTTGCTGAGATTACAGTGAAATCATCTGTATGTTTCAATGATGCAAGTTAAGTTTCATGAGTCACTGACAAACCAGATTCGTTTTGATTCCAAACATCAAGTCTCACTAGGATACATTTAAGTTATCCTACTTCTGTTCACTACTTCATGATCTTGTGAGTCAGAGGAATGTTCATCATCAAATTAACACAACAATATGAAGTGAACAAGATGAACAATAAAGGTGTCAGAATGATCTCTGTAAAAATAATAGTATGAAAGACTAAATATTAAGAATATATTTCGAGAAGGAATAAAAAGGCATATATTAAACAACCGTAACCCAAGATCTAAAGGAAAATAGAAAGTGAATACATCTGTTCCACTCTGATCAATTCTGAGCCGTGTCAATCAACATCTCCCGTAGTTTTTCATGTAAATCGTGTGTACCTCAACTAGATTGTTTGCGTTTATCAACATTACTCATGCCAATAGTCAATGGTTTCACAACCTGATGCCATGTCTTGGTTTCATTCTAAAAACAGTAACGTTTTTCTCCATTGTTTTCATTTCAAAACTTAATTAAACATGCCGCATGATTCTGCTTTCTTCAAGAAAATACTCCACACAACGTTGTTCCCATACTCTCAGTTTACGTATAATACACTTTATGTAGTGTAGTTCTAAATTATTGATCTTCCTACTCCATCACATTTTTTTCATTTCAGAATCCTAATTATATCAATAAATTATGGACTGATACACTAGAAATCTATGCTCAAAGTTCCAAACCAGATGTCAGTCCTATTGCTGGCGATATATTACGTTTTCTTATATATGGTAATGAGAATGTCGATGAATCAAACCAGTTGTCTTCATCTTCATCGTCTGTAGATAAGAAACTTATACAATCAATTGATTGTCTACTCAACCAACTTCAAGAACAAATTACAATTTGTGAAAAATTACCAGTAATTGGTTTAATGTCTGTGGCAACTAATAAACCATTTTATGCTATACTTAGTACAATCCGTTCTATTATTGGTGTCACCTCATCATCACCATTGAATAAGAAAAATAAAAAGCCTACCGATGCTCAAATTTGGAGTAGCACATCAATTAAGACAGAGTATGTTTTTCTCTTTAATTTCTGTATGCGTATTTTCATTTTAATTTTTAAATTGTCATTCGTAAGATTACCCTGAGATGTGGTCATGGACTGTAAAATGTTGAATGAAACACTAACTATTTATCATTATCATCATCATGAAACCCTAGTTACATACATTTCTTCTTATTTTGATGTTATTGTGCAATAATAATCGTCACAAAACTGAAACCAGGATTTTAATATTTTGGAAAAAACACTATCCTTAAACTTTGAAATTTCTGAATGGATTGACTGCATAATATTGACAAATATCAACTGAAGTTGGGAATTCGGATTGTTAGGTTTTAACTCTACCTAAGAGGGTATATTATGTGCTTAACTACGCCTGAATTATTGTGTATTAATCTTTTATGTAGATGTATGTGAACGGTTCTAAGAATTAGTTTCAGAACAAGTTTAAATGACTGTCCATGTATTTCGATTTTTATAACTCAGTTTACTATCCTTAACCATCATGCTAATAAACAGTTTGTTTGAACTTGGTAAATGAGTTACACTCTACTTCCTAAATCACTTGTGCGTCATCACATCATGTTAAACAGTATTGATGTATGAATTTAAAATAAATCAGAATAGTTGCGGAGAAAAGCACATAATAGTTGTATTATTTCCTGACTTACTTGAGTATATGAAAGGCTATGATTGTCTAAACATACTATATGCTTGTACTCACATACAGATGGAAAAACAGACGAGATCTGCTGTTGAAAGTAGTCGCTTGTGCTCTTATTCTCAACCTATATCTCATTAGTTGAGTGATATATATCAGTTATTTGTGTATCTAATTATTTGGTTTTGCCATGTTAGGCCAAACAAGGAGGAGCTGAATTCAGTTTTCTGCCTATGCGCTCCTAACATTAAAATTGAATCCTCCCTCTAGACACAGTTTATGTAGTCAACTATGAAGCCTCCAGGTAGTAACATGCTAGCTACTTACACTTTAAACTTTCAGTAAATTGTATACAATAATTTGTAGACCATAACGTATCTGTGACTGTTACTGATTCATATCATTTCGTAAGATCTGTGGCCATACTCCATGATATTAAAGCCTTTGAAAAACCTACATAATTCCTACTAGAAATCCTTTTGATACTATCACATAAATAACATTAAGGTCAAGTTGGAACTTGACAGGTAAAAACAAAAGATGACATACTGCTATAATTCTCTAGTAAGAAGTGACTCCGGTGATAATAACCAGATATTTTACTGTTATTTGAAAAAAAACTTATAGATCCTTGTTCAAACAAATCAATGGAGTAAATGTTATCGAGCGTATAATTTCACTAGGTCTTCGTATATCTGAAATTGTGCTACCAGTTGTTGGACATGAATCACCTGAAGGTGTCTTGTTAACTTCACAACAAGACGTAATCATTGATGATATTAAAGTGAGCAACGATCATATTTCCTTTTTCTGGTTACTGTATATTGAATTCAATTCGGTGACATCCCAATATTCACTGTATTAATCTAAAAAAAACAATATAAGAGACGGTAAAAGTGTACTTTACTAACAAACCACCAACCAGATTTAAAACAAAGGCTATCGGATTTTCATGCGAAACTCAAAACGCCATGACGGATACTTACTTAATTACGCCCATTACCCTCGCAGGGGAGCATAGATCGCCCACCAGCACTCTCCATCCAACTCTGTCCTGGACAATCCTTTCCACTCGCTTCCAGTTACTATTCATCCTTTCCATGTCTACTTCCAACTCTTCTACGCATTTCTGCTTGTCAGCTCTAATTCTCTTCTTCACTTGCTTGTTTGCTTCTGTATATTTAGCTTGTGCCTTGACTTTTTCTGTTCTTGTTCGGCTGTCGTTAAATGCTACCTTGTCCTTCTTCGTTTCTTGAGTCTTGTCCAAGGTCTCGATAGAGATCCATTCCTGATTATGATGCTTCTTGTGGCCCAGAACCTCCTGACACGTTGAAGTTAGTGCTTCTTTGATCTCTTTCCAGTCATTCTTCATAGTAGGTTCCTCTTCGAGAAGATCGTGTAAGGCTTGGGACCTGTTGTTGAGATTTATCTTGAATTCGTTGAGTTTGTTAGTATCTCGAAGGAAGGCTGTATTGAACCTTTGTAATGCTATTTGTACAGTTTCCCAGTGTTTCTTTAGCTTCAGTTTCATCTTGGCAACCACCAAGTGGTGATCTAAAACTCCTCTCCTGGTTCTCACGTCTTCTATTGACCTTGTGAATTTTTACTGATGAAAATATGGTGGATCTGGTTCTCCGTGGTGTGGTCCAGTGAGACCCATGTAGCTCTGTGTATGCGTTCGTGGGGGGAATATAGTGTCTCCTATAACTATTTTATTGAATGGACATAAATTTGCAAATCTGTCACCATTCTCGTTCCTTTATCACAGTCTATGTCGTCCCATGATATCTTCATATCCGGTGTTGTCCATCCCGACTTTGGCGTTTAGGTCTCCCATCTGGATGGTCAGGTCCTTTCTTGAGCACTTCACTATGACCGATTGTATCCTCTCGTAAGACTGATCTTTATCGTCGTCATTGCTATCATTGGTGGGTGCATAACATTTGATAACATTTATGTGATCCCCTCCCTCTTTGTTTTGAAGGGTAATTTGATGATTCTAGATCCACGAAATTCCCATCCTATAAGTGCATTTCGTGCTTCTTTAAACGGCATTAGGGCAACTCTCTAAGTGTGTGGAGCACTTTCCTCTTCATGATCAGAGTACAACAGTACCTCTCACGAAGCTAATATTGTCTGTCCAGCTAGAGTCCAATAAATTCCATTTATCCTGTGAACCACCTAGTTGTACCTCCTCATTTCCGTGACTATGTGACTGGTCCCAAACTGTCCAGACATTTCATGTACCCATATTAATTGTTGTTTTGGTTGTTTGAATGGGCATCAGCCTCGTAACTTCCTAGGAATATCGACTTTCATCATGAGGCATCATGATTCTTCTAAATGAAGATCCTTCAACATTAAGGGCGGCGTTTAAAAGGTTTAATTTGCTTATTCTCTTTAGCGTTTTTTAGCAAGGTTGTTTTCTACGGGGTGGGTTTGCTGACCCCATACTCAACCCTCCTCCTTTACCTGTACTTGGGACCACCCGTAACCCTAGATGAGCTACAGACAGAGTTTCCATGACTGATAGCCTGTGTTTTATGAAGAGAAAAATAAGAAGCTATTGCAACCTACCAATATTAAGTTACCAGGATGTTTAAAATTAGTAAAGTTGACCTGACTATAAATTAGAAGTAAAATTGAGCGGTCCATAAAGTAATCATGAGGAAGTGGTTAGTTTGTTGTATAAATTTAGCGTGAAACGAATTAAATAAAAAAGTGTCTACCAATTTAACTACAAAGACTTCCTTAATATACCTAATAAGTCGTTAACTTGCTGCTCGTCTAATGGTTCGTGCAAGCAATCGGCTTTTTAATATAAAAAATCATTAATTTATCTTTTTTGTAATTAGTGTTTCGCAATCATTTTTATTCTAACATTCCTTGTTCCTTCTATTTGAAGACTGCAGATGAAGAAGCTTCTCAATTGTATAAATTTTATGAAAAAACACGAAATCATCCAGAATATTTAATTTTATGCTGTTGGCGTTCTGTTCGTGAATTATCTTTACTTATGGGTATATCACTTGTCTCATACGGTTTGAATAAATTCGATAGTAATCAAATAAAACCAAAAGAGGTTTGTGAGTTGATTTTTTTTAATGATGTATATGATAAACACTTTCATTTTCATAGTTTATATCACGGATTGACTTTGATCAGATAACTATTGAATGCTAGAGAGAACTAGACATCTCTTTCACCCTTAATATGAAGCTCTCCATCAGTGCGCAACCCGATACCAGCTGACCATGGGGCGCAGAAGTTTTAATTCTCTTAGAGAACATTTAACTGAGCTGGCATCAAATAATATACATGTCTAACTTCAATCCATTTGCAACTGTCTTCTATTGTGGGTGATTGCATCACATCTTGTATAGTTTAAATTCATTGATCATGGTTTAGCAATTCAGCCCCGGGAATTACCTTTCTAAGAGAGATTGCTGGATAACTATTTTGTTCTAGTACAAAACTCTTCAGTTGTGTGTATCCATGGTCCCACCGTCAGGTATCAAACTCGAGTCTCTCAGTGAGTGCTCAACTGTCAGATCACCGAATCAGTATATTCAATAGCTTATATGGCTAACAGTGGTGGGTAGCGAAAGCAAGAGAGATGGAAAAGGCAGCGGCAATAGGTAATAGCAGACAATTGTTCAGACTTGTTAAGGAAATACTCTCAGAGAAAGATGGACATATTATACATTCTCAATCCAGGAGATTGGATCGATGGGCAGAACACTTTAGGGATCAGTTCAACTGGCCTTCAGCCACACTTCGGTTTCCCACGATCTCTAGTCAACCTGAATGGCAAGTTGATGTAGGTCCTCCGTCCCTTTACGAAGTTGAAAAAGCCATAGGAAATCTGAAGCGAAGGGAGAGCAGCAGGCCCTGACAGGTTTACTCCTGAGATTTTTAAGGATGGTGGTCCAGTATTAGCAATGAGATTAACCGAGGTCTTAGGTAGAATTTGGGAACTGGACGTAATCCCATCTGACTGGTCTCAATCACTGATTGTGCCAGTCTATAAGAAAGGACAAAAGTCCTCTTGTGACAATCACAGAGGAATCAGTTTGACTAATATAGTGTCTAAAATATTAGCTTCAATAATACTTCGACGCCTAACTAAAGCTCGTGAAGAGCAGACTAGAGAAAACCAGGCTGGTTTTCGACCTGGACGTGGTTGTATAGATCAGATATTCACACTACGTCAGGTTCTAGAACACAGACACACATTCAGACGCCCCACAATGGTAGTATTTCTCGACCTTAAGGCGGCATTCGACTCTATTGATCGTGAGGTTCTATGGCAGTGTTTGTCACTGAAAGGAGTACCAAAGAAGTACATTAACCTTATAAAGGTTCTCTACTCGAACACAACTGGTAGAGTGAGAGCTTATGGCGAACTGTCATCAGAATTGATTACCTCAAGTGGTGTTCGTCAGGGCTGTCCATTCTCCCCATTCTTGTTCAACTTTGTGGTCGACGTACTTTTAGAGATAACACTCTCCTCATCTAAATTGCCAGGGGTTAAACTTCTACCAGGAGGTTCACTTGTTGACTTAGAATATGCTGATGACATAGTTTTATTTGGTGAAGACGCTGACAAAATGCAGAGTCTTCTGACCACTCTAAGCAACAATGCAAGCATGTTCGGGATGCGATTCTCTCCCTCGAAATGCAAAATGTTGCTTCAGGATTGGGTTACATCGACACCCGAACTAGTGATAGGGAGTGAAGTAGTTGAGTGTGTCGACCGCTTCACTTATCTTGGAAATCTCATCAGCCCTTGTGGTCTGGTGTGTGACGAAATCTCAGCACGGATACAGAAGGCTCGACTAGCTTTTGCCAACTTGCGTCATTTATGGCGTAGGCGAGATATCCGTCTATCAACCAAAGGACGTGTTTACTGCGCAGCAGTTCGTTCCGTCCTACTTTATGGCAGTGAAACATGGCCGGTAAGAGTAGAGGATATCCGTAGGTTACTAGTATTCGATCATAGGTGTCTTCGAAACATTGCTCGTATATCATGGGACCATCGAGTAAGTAACACAGTTGTTAGGAAACGGGTAGTAGGTAAGGATGGCAAATCAATTGATGACGTAGTGAAACTTCATCAGTTGAGATGGCTGGGACATGTGTTACGTATGCCCAACCACCGACTGCCTCGACGTGCTATGTTCAGTGGTATAGGAGTAGGTTGGAAGAAAGCTAGGGGCGGCCAAACCAAAACATGGCACAAGTCCATGAAGTCACTGACAAGTGGACTGAGTCATGTTGGTAGGTGTAGATTACCTGGTTGGGGACCGCGAGATGATAGCAACCGATGGTTAGAGACCCTGAATGACATGGCTTAAACTCGTTTGCAATGGCGCAGGTGCATCCACTCTCTGTGTTCTCTCAAATTCTAATCTTCTGGATTCTTCATGTCCCTTTTTTCTCTTTCCAAATTTCTTTCACTGTATTATACTCTTTAAATAACATCTCCAAACCCTAATCTTCCCGATTACTGCTTATACTCTTATTACCTCTACCACTACGGGATTTGAATTGACAAGTGCATCTCTGTGCTAATGTGGTGTGGCAACTCGAACTGATGTACATACGTACGAAGTTCTACGTTGTTACTGAATGACTAACTGATGTCTAACTCCAATCAATTGCCGATAGTTCTATGCATGAATCCAACAACCTAACAATGCAAAACAAATCTTAACATTGCTACTTCTACCTTATAAGAGCAAACGTTTATTGTTCATTGCAGTCCTGAATCATAACATAACTTTTCCATACTGGTTATAAAATCATTGAACTGTCTTAAGCGATGATTCATTTAAAAAGTTTAATCCCCCATATTGTCTGCTAATATTTCTACATCCTCAATATTTTTGTTAGACGTAATAGATTCTATTAAGCTTAAATCTGATCAGTGTTAAGATAACTGGTCTGGTTCATATAATATGCGTCTTGTACATTGAATGCCTAAAATACTAACTTCCTAGTTTCTTGTTAAACCTTGACATTCTTGGTTAGCTGAACGTCGTACCGAACGTAGATGGAAAAAAATACCACAGAGATGCTGTATTTTAAAGTTTAATTTTAGTATAAAGAATAAAGATATTTGTAAAATGCAAAAGACTGGTTATACTAAACGCTTTCACAATAGATACTAAAAGTTGTAACAATTTTTTTTAAAAACTACAAATAGCTTTCAACACTAACCGTACTGTGTAGCACAAAGAAGTTGCTTAGAGATTTTTACCACTAAAAACTGAATAGTATAATTCATATATGTTCAGTTTAGGGGGATTTGTGGAGATTGTATGGTTTTAACAATTTCAGATAAGGAGCCTATCGTAGCTAGATCACCACTGAAAATATAGAAGCACTGGACGGTCGTTTTGCACACTATGGGACTTCATAGCAGTATACATCTAAGACCCTGCATCCGGAGATCTAATTCATTTATATCTGTGGTGTTCAAATTGATCATGGTAACTTTATTTAACCTGGTGTGAGTAATTCATTGATTACAGCTCATCCACATGTCTCTCACTTATCATCCGTAGTTGTTTTGATACATCACATGACCAGTCTAGTATTGCCTAGGAAACAAACAAATCACTGTGACACAAGCCATTTTATTGTTAATTAAATATTAAAATGCTAAATTTGTGACAAAATAATTGGGGTATACAGTATTTCTACACTGAGATATGTAATCTTAATTCGGAAATATGTCTCGGACTTTTCAGAAATAATTCAAACACTGAATCACCATTGTCCTACAAGTTTTACATCATGATATGTGTTGAAAAACATATTGTGAAAATTCTTTAAGTTTCATATGAAGTTAAACAATATTCAATCTATTATTTCTCTACTGTACAAATTATTTTTCTTTTCTACACTTTACATTACAGATTTTTTCTATTGCCCGATTTTTCTGTACTCAGTTACTTTGTTGCCGCCATCGTGGGGCATTTGAACTGTGTGCAACTGGATTTACAAACTTTTGTACTGCGCTTGTAAAGTAAGTCGATGAATTATATTTTGTATCATTGATGATAACATTTGTATATATTTGTTTATCAGATTGCCGGGTTTTGTAGATACTGCTGCGAAAACGTAATGAATAGGGCTTCTCTGACAGTGGTCCATATATGCGATCACATCGCTATCAGCCACCGATGGAGGAGCTCGATAGAAGACTGTCGCTCATTCTGGAGCACATGCCTAGATTCAGATCATGCTCTAGTGCGAGCGCGTATTTGCTTGCGTCTTACTAGACGTAGGAAAGATCCTGCAAGGAAACCTCTTAGGGCCCTACTTAATGATAGTCAAGCTAAGAGTATATTTCAGGAACAACTAGGAAAACAGTTAGGCAGCCATGTATGTGATGCCCACCCCGAGGCAGCATGGAACGATATCCGAAAAGCTGTGGAAACAGCAGTGATATCTGCTAGTAAGGTAAACCAGAAGGTTAGAGAGCAACACTGGATCTCAGCAGCATCTATCGCATTGATAGATGCTCGGAAACTCATTCCACCTGGCTCTGAACATAATGAAGAGCGCAGTCAGCTTAAGCGCAAGCTGACAAGAAGTCTACGCAATGATCGCGAACAGTGGTGGGTAGCGAAAGCAAGAGAGATGGAAAAGGCAGCGGCAATAGGTAATAGCAGACAATTGTTTAGACTCGTTAAGGAAACCGGAATTAGGAACCCGACCGTTAGCGAAACAATCTCAGAGAAAGATGGACATATTATACATTCTCAATCCAGGAGATTGGATCGATGGGCAGAACACTTTAGGGATCAGTTCAACTGGCCTTCAGCCACACTTCGGTTTCCCACGATCTCTAGTCAACCTGAATGGCAAGTTGATGTAGGTCCTCCGTCCCTTTACGAAGTTGAAAAAGCCATAGGAAATCTGAAGCGAAGGGAGAGCAGCAGGCCCTGACAGGTTTACTCCTGAGATTTTTAAGGATGGTGGTCCAGTATTAGCAATGAGATTAACCGAGGTCTTAGGTAGAATTTGGGAACTGGACGTAATCCCATCTGACTGGTCTCAATCACTGATTGTGCCAGTCTATAAGAAAGGACAAAAGTCCTCTTGTGACAATCACAGAGGAATCAGTTTGACTAATATAGTGTCTAAAATATTAGCTTCAATAATACTTCGACGCCTAACTAAAGCTCGTGAAGAGCAGACTAGAGAAAACCAGGCTGGTTTTCGACCTGGACGTGGTTGTATAGATCAGATATTCACACTACGTCAGGTTCTAGAACACAGACACACATTCAGACGCCCCACAATGGTAGTATTTCTCGACCTTAAGGCGGCATTCGACTCTATTGATCGTGAGGTTCTATGGCAGTGTTTGTCACTGAAAGGAGTACCAAAGAAGTACATTAACCTTATAAAGGTTCTCTACTCGAACACAACTGGTAGAGTGAGAGCTTATGGCGAACTGTCATCAGAATTGATTACCTCAAGTGGTGTTCGTCAGGGCTGTCCATTCTCCCCATTCTTGTTCAACTTTGTGGTCGACGTACTTTTAGAGATAACACTCTCCTCATCTAAATTGCCAGGGGTTGAACTTCTACCAGGAGGTTCACTTGTTGACTTAGAATATGCTGATGACATAGTTTTATTTGGTGAAGACGCTGACAAAATGCAGAGTCTTCTGACCACTCTAAGCAACAATGCAAGCATGTTCGGGATGCGATTCTCTCCCTCGAAATGCAAAATGTTGCTTCAGGATTGGGTTACATCGACACCCGAACTAGTGATAGGGAGTGAAGTAGTTGAGTGTGTCGACCGCTTCACTTATCTTGGAAATCTCATCAGCCCTTGTGGTCTGGTGTGTGACGAAATCTCAGCACGGATACAGAAGGCTCGACTAGCTTTTGCCAACTTGCGTCATTTATGGCGTAGGCGAGATATCCGTCTATCAACCAAAGGACGTGTTTACTGCGCAGCAGTTCGTTCCGTCCTACTTTATGGCAGTGAAACATGGCCGGTAAGAGTAGAGGATATCCGTAGGTTACTAGTATTCGATCATAGGTGTCTTCGAAACATTGCTCGTATATCATGGGACCATCGAGTAAGTAACACAGTTGTTAGGAAACGGGTAGTAGGTAAGGATGGCAAATCAATTGATGACGTAGTGAAACTTCATCAGTTGAGATGGCTGGGACATGTGTTACGTATGCCCAACCACCGACTGCCTCGACGTGCTATGTTCAGTGGTATAGGAGTAGGTTGGAAGAAAGCTAGGGGCGGCCAAACCAAAACATGGCACAAGTCCATGAAGTCACTGACAAGTGGACTGAGTCATGTTGGTAGGTGTAGATTACCTGGTTGGGGACCGCGAGATGATAGCAACCGATGGTTAGAGACCCTGAATGACATGGCTTAAACTCGTTTGCAATGGCGCAGGTGCATCCACTCTCTGTGTTCTCTCAAATTCTAATCTTCTGGATTCTTCATGTCCCTTTTTTCTCTTTCCAAATTTCTTTCACTGTATTATACTCTTTAAATAACATCTCCAAACCCTAATCTTCCCGATTACTGCTTATACTCTTATTACCTCTACCACTACGGGATTTGAATTGACAAGTGCATCTCTGTGCTAATGTGGTGTGGCAACTCGAACTGATGTACATACGTACGAAGTTCTACGTTTTTACTGACTGACTGACTGACTGACCATGTGTGCGTGGTCATACGCGAGCATTTCTAGAGGGGGAGGAGACTCTCCCCACCCTCAACTGCACTTAGGAATTTAGACGCACGTTTGTATTGCGCCAGCAGAAGTATCTTTCGATGCTGAATATTTATTGCTGATGAAATGTATTTTATTCGTAGTCGAATAATTTTTATTTATTTATTATTATTATTTGGTTTATTCAATATTATGTTTTTGGTACAATATAGAATTCTCAGCGTAAAGTATTTCAATAAGTTTCCGTTTCTTTCTTCTTGGTCGGTCCTGGCGATAAATGTTGAGTGATCACCAGTTAGATGTTGGCAGTTCAGTAAATGAACATCTGAATAATGTGCATTCTTTTCGCTGTATATTGCCAGCAAACACATTGTCTCTTATTGAGTTTTTTGTAACTCTGACAACGAAAGGTTGTACACTTTTCAGAAACGCAGCAGAATAGGTTATGCGATTAATAAACATAATGATATATTAAAACAAACAAAAATAGATAACTTGTTGAAATATCTGGATGGCAGGAACAGGTAGCCCAGATGCTCAAGCAGGCCGCCTTAGATGAAAATTTGTTCGCTTTCTATGAGCGTGCAGCACAATTTAACAGTGACTGTATTTTAGTCATAGACATGATAACTAACCAACCAATCTTCTTTTCAGAATTCAGTGATTTATAATTATTAGTAGTAATCGTGTGTTAACTGTTGTTTGTGTTAGGTGACATTGGTTGCTGCTCAGAGATCATTGAGTGTAAGTACCTCAGTATCCTTCCTACTAATGGAGGTTAGTCTTTGCGTGAATATCTCTCTGTGAGGTGGTAACGTGTTTGCCACTGACAATAACAGAACCCGGTTCTAATTTCAGAGAGAACACCAATCCCATCATCATTGAATGAACTCTTTTCTGACACACGCACATTGCCATGGAATATATGTTAGGATCTGATCTTCCTGTTAAATGTATTTTAACCGACTCCATTTTGTAGTGCTCTTTTTTAAAACATCAGTTACCTTGAAAGAGTAAAATACGTTTTAGCGTCTTGTTTTTCGGTTCTCATTCATCACCATGTTCATTCTACTTTTTTCTTTAAATGTAGTCATCCAGTCTATTTTACAATTCCTATTCATTGGCTTAATGCAGTCACTGGTCAAACTTTGTCATTAAATGAAAAGTCGACAAACGATTGTTCGACTGTAATAGAAAATATTGATTTTTCACTAGAATCATGTATGGGAAAACATAATACAATGGAATGTATCACTCGTCGTGGTGCCGGTTACCCTTTATTTGTTCAGGTAGGCTCTCTTTCTTTTGGCCTTCTGGTTGACTGATATATTAAAAGTGGTGTGGGTAAGAATGATAATGTTTGGTTGTCTGCTTAGTCAGACTTGTAGATAGTCTGATAGGTGTCAGATGAGTTATATATTCCCCTATTCTTATTGTTACTTATTATTTATTGTTCATCGTTGTTGGATTGTGTCGGGTTTTGGTGTGGAAATATATTTACGTTGTGATCAGGCTAATCACGTGTTCTTGATGTGAGTTGTGTTGATATCCTGTAGAATAGACACTAAGAGGGAATCTAGTGTAGATATTCATCTAAGGTAAATTGACGTCCCATACGTGTAAACGTGAAAAACCAACCGTCTTAACATTGGCGGGCACAAGTTATAACAGAAACACTTAACCTTTTAACTATCGTGATGCATATTTGAAATGTACTTTCGTTTTTGAACAACCTCATAGCACATATCTGACTGTGGTGCATATATACACATATATCTGTCAGAGATGTTAGCAGCTTGTTATTTATTTCTAATAATGCTATCACAAAACTGACCTGTCTGTCAGAAGAATAATTTCAACATTGTTGTTCAAATACACATTTTCATTTCCAGATTAGACAGTGCATTTGGTAAAGATGATAAGTTGGGTGATGTAGTTGTGAATCTCCACGTATTGTGTTTGTTCAACTACTGCCTTCTGTGATGTTTAATTTTGGTTGATGTAAAAATAAGTTGGGGAATCTAATGCTGATCAAGATCACCTTGTAGTTTTACTTTCGATTGATGCATATCACATGACAAGGTGAAATTTCTAGAGGATCTCACTAAATTATCGGAATATTAAGAAAACATATTTATCTCATCTAGTTTGGAATTGACAGTTGTCTTTAAAGGGTTTAATCGTCCAATTTAAGATTGTTCATGGCATCAATTATTCAGTATTCAAACGTCAAATATCATTATTGATTAGTTTCATGCTACAGCGATTATTCCGTGTACCAAAGTTTACGTTAAATTAAATTGAGCTAAATTCTTTTTAGAACTCGGACATCAACGATTGAATGGGCATACGGTTTAACAACTTGGTCTGATGTGCATACATATATGTGATTGATTCTACACTGTGACCTGTGGATGATTGGTGATGTAGTTGTTGTTTCCTCACTTGAACTCATTCAAATCGTGTAACAACTATTCTTCCTATTTTTGAGTTTCTCTCATTATAATTGTATTATTAAGAAACTTAATTTTTTATTCTCATATTGATACAGGCTATTTTAACTGCAGATTTAACCCGTAACACTAATGTATCAACAACGCTTACAAATACAGTCTGCTGGTTACTCAAATCAGTTAAAACGTCTCTTTGTAACAACAATCTTCAACAGTCCAACAACCTTGTGAGTATATTATTATTGCTTAAGTTAACATGTTCTTGATGATTGAAAAAATCAAATTACCATTATTTATTTTGGGTAAAAGAATAATATAGAAACTAGCCAATAACATCTGAGAAAATCAATCTTAAGTTTTGTCTTAAGAGGAAGCCAAACCGATCCAGAAGTACCAAGAAGACTGTTCATAAATCCTGTACCACTTCGTTGAGCCTGATGTCTTTTTGTCAAAGCTCATCCCCAGGTCAGAGGAAATTCGTTACCCTTAGTATTAATGGGCATCCGTTTAGATTGCAAATAGACACTGCATCTGACGTGACAATTCTCTCACAAAAACCTTGGATCAGAATGAGCAAACCACGCACCGTGCCAACAACACAAAAACCTCTTACTGCATGTGGTAATCACCTACATTTGTTGGGACAACTAGATTGTAAAGTTTCTTTTCACAATTCGACGTTTACCGGGGTATGTTATACAACAACAGCTGATCTAACTTTGCTTGGTTTAGATTGGTTCAACCAGCTAAAATTAGTTGATGTCTCGTTAAATACCATATGCCACCTAGTATCACAACCACATGACCCTGAAGCATATACGAGAAAGCTAGTGACGCAGTTTCCATCTATTTTCCAACCTGGATTGTGTCGATGTTCTGCCGCGAAAGCAACGCTTCGGCTGAAACCCGGGGCCAAGCCTGTTTTCTGCCCCAAAAGACCCGTGCCTTACGCAACATTACCAACAGTAGATGAAGAATTGAATCGTCTTCAACAACAAGGAGTTATTACACCCGTTTCTTACTCTGCTTAGGCAGCACCTATAGTTGTTATCAAGAAGGTCAACAGCATGATACGTACATGTGCTGACTTTTCTACAGGTCTCAATGCAGCTCCGGAACAGCATCATTATCCTTTGCCAGTTCCCGTAGATCTGTTTACTATGCTGAATCGGGGAAAGTTTTTCGCAAAACTGGATCTAGCTGATGCTTACTTGCAAGTGGGAGTAGATGAAGCATCAAGAGAGCTGCTTACTATCAACACTCATCGTGGGTTGTTTCAGTATAACCGTCTGCCTTTTGGAGTCAAGACTGCCCCATTTATCTTCCAGCAACTGATGGATACCATCCTATCAGGTATCCCGGGGATCGCGGTTTATCTCGATGACATTTTAATTGTTGCGACGACATTAGAACAGCTACAGGAACGCACGACACTGGTACTGCAACGTATCAGTGACAACGGGTTCCGCTTAAGCCCAGAGAAATGCCAGTTTTTATTGCAGTCAGTCAAGTATCTGGGGTTCATTTTTGACGCAGACGGCCACAAGCCGGATCCTGAGAACATTCGAGTTACCAAACTGATGCCCACCCCCACTAATGTCTCGGCACTACGTTCCTTCATGGGACTTGTTACCTATTGTTCAGCGTTCGTTCCTTCGATGCTTGAAATTCGTGCTCCATTGAATCGTCTGATGAGGATGGACAGCACTTGGAACTGAACTAACGAGTGTGATGCGGCGTTTTGTAAACTCAAGTCGATAATTAGCTCGAAATTGTTGTTAACGCACTACGATCCATCTATGCCAATTATCGTAGCTGCAGACGCTTCAGCGTATGGCCTAGGTGCTGTTATTTCACATTAGTTTCCAGACGCGTCAGAAAAAGCTGTTATGCATACGTCCTATACACTAACCCCGGCAGAAAAGAAATACAGTCAGATAGAAAAAGAGGCTCTTGCACTTGTGTTTGCTGTCCGACGTTTCCACAAGTTTCTGTACTGTAGGAGATTTACTCTTCTCACAGATCACAAGCCTCTGCTCGCAATATTTGGGTCGAAATCTGACATTGCAGCCCATTCTGCAAATCGTCTTCAACGATGGGCCTTGGTACTATTGGGGTATGATTTCGAGATCCAATACCGATGCACTCAACAATTCGGTCAGGAAGATGCCTTGTTACAACTCATTAATGATCAATTGGCGGCTTAGGAAAACATGGTAATCGCATCTCCGTCTGCGGAAGACCACGCGGAATGTTATCTGACAACCGCAGTAAGGGTATTACCGGTGTCTGCAACAGATATACGAAACGCTTCCAGGAACGACCCCATCATCAAGATGGCGATGAGCTATGTCACTAACGGTTGGCCGTCTAAGAAGTTTAATGGTGAAATGAAACAGTTGTATCAGCGGCAGGATTGTAAACAACTGCTCGAGGTTTGGGGAAAGAGTGGTTGTGCCGGAGCCCCTTCGCGCAAGAGTGCTGAAACAGTTCCACCTTGGTAATTCGGGGGTTAGACGAATGAAATCCATAGCCAGGAGTTATGCATACTAGCGCCCAGTGGACCAACCTATCACTGAATTGGTTGAAAAATGCATTCGGTGCCAGCAAACAGCAAAGGTGAATGTCAAAGTCCCGCCAATTCCATGACCACAACCTGATCATCCTTGGTCCAGGATACACGTCGACTTCGCGAGCCCAATTAATGGGACTATGTATTTATTTGTGGTCGATGCCTTTTCAAAATGGCCATAAATCATTCTTGTAATGCCGCCCATGACAACTGGAACAATACAGCTCCTCACTGAAATTTTCTCCCGAAATGGCATACCAGATGTGATTGTATTCAGCACTTACGTTCGCCACCATACCACCCGCAGTCGAATGGGCAAGTGGAAAGGTTTGTGGATACGTTTAAAAGAGCATTGGTTAAGTCAAAAGGGAAGGGGACACCAACCGACGCGTTATCGGAACAGTTATTATGAGGCATTTTCTTGGAAAATTCATTGAAGTTTGCCCCAGGCTATTGTTGTTAGAAGACTTCAGATTATGCAGTTTCATTTGTTAGGAGTTCAAGTATAATCAGGATAGAGTTGTTCTAATTAATTTTCGTCAAATAATCTTCGTTGTTATTAGGTTTTTTTGTTCTCATTTTGATTTTTCTAATTTATTATGTTACAAGTTTGGTTCCCATAGATACAGAGTTGTCCAGTGATAATCTTGGCTTCTTGAATAAAAAGATTTTACTGAGTTCATAATCTCTCTTCGTTTTCCAAACCGTTGCGGTTTATTTTTAAAGTGTTGTGCGTCAGTCATACGTCTGTCGAGTTTGCATAGTTCTACCTACATATTAGCAGACTATCCTAATCATTCATGATTGAGAAGTGTGGTAGGCTCTGTCACAAAACTTAACACATTGTATTCACAATATTTTTTATGGCGAGACTATAATTTGCTAACATAACAGTGAACTAATTTAAGTTCGTGGTGAAAACTTTAACTCTTAATTCTTATTTATAACACCAATTCCTAGCTTGTTTAGTAGTTTAATTTTTTCAAGATCAGTTTACAATCTCTTTAAGGTCATCGATCAACAGGAGTTTTGCCATCAAAATATAATGCTTTTATTTTGACCATCATATAACCAATAGACTTCACTCAAATAGTACACCACACAGACAACAACAGTTGGATTTAACTAACATGCTTATTGGTCCACATGAGTTCTCTAATCTCTAATAGCAAGTGAGGATACGTGAATAACGAGTCGTTCTCTATTTACCTTCTGCTATTGACTCAAAAATTCACATTTAAAATATTCATCCATTTACAAGACCGAATACATCATAAATAAAAAGAGATCACAATCTGTGCATAAATACGTCATTTGTGGTTGAAAATGGGGTTTATTAATTAATTAGTTAATTACATATAAACTAATACTAAGGGGCGCCAAAATTTATATGCATGAAGTATCGACTGTCTGGTTAGATTCCATGTGATAACCACAATCAGTGGTTAGAAATCTTGGGTAACATAAGTGAGAATCGTTCACAGTGTGCTGCAGATATATTCACTCTCTATTTCGTTCTAAAACCTGAATTTCAGTATTCCTTCATACACACTTGTTCATTCCATCTTGTCGAACCACATCATAAATGTTTTTTCCCCTCATTATTTTCGACCCCTTTACTGTTTATCCCGTTAATTATATTTTGTAGTTGTAATTTGGCCTGACGTCTTGGGCTCATGCATATTTGCCCCAAATTGTCTGTTAATCATAATTATCTGATTTTCTTTATCCTAATTGTTTTTAAACTTTTTTTCCCAGAGTACATGTGTACTACACCTAAATATCATTCGTGATATATTTCAATCAAAAAATTTAAATTATCATACAGATAAATATTTACAAAAAGCATTAATTATTGTTTTGGATGGTGTTGGATGTGGAGATTTATCAGTGAGTTTGTTATATAAATATATATATAAATTCTGAGAGCTCTTCAAAGCGGCTTGATTTTAATCCTGCTGGGTCATGAACATAGCAATCAAATAAAACTTCCCATAGATTTTAATTCAAACAGTCGTAAGATTAGACATTAGTCACTTCATCACAACAGACCGTAAATAAGAAATTATATTGTGTATATTTACAAGCCGTAAATAATAGGGAAGAAAGCAAGAAGTGAATAAGTAAACAATTCTAATTTAGAAATAGTACAACGTATATCGACGTTTATACTATAAATTCGAGTTTTAATATAGGATAATGTAGAAATATAACGATCTCTCGTTGGATAGTTCAAAAAGTGTAAACTTTCTTAAAATCCTCTTCGATATAATACACATCTAGTCGCATATGCGTCATAGTTTGGTGTGTGTATATGATGTATTTTCATTAATCATTTAACCAAATCATAGTAAATATTCAGTCGATTTTCATGAAGGAAACTTTTAGCAAAGATAACCGTTCATCTAAAAATGTAATTCATGCAATGAAAACCCCTAAATGCCCTGGTACAACCGAGAGTGGGGAAGGTCATCTCTCTCTCTCCCTCGAAATGCTATCACATGGCCACGTGCATACAACCACTGCCAGGGAAGTCCTACTCATTGCCTTCTCGTGGCGGGGGTGTTGTTTACAAAACTGAGAGGACGAAAAGCGAATGTCCGGCACTTTGACTGGGTTGGTGGATACGGAGAATCCACCTAGGGGAGTTGGAAA